TGGAGCATTTCTGCTCTCTTTTTGTTGATTGTTTTCATGTTACCACTGAAATATTGTATGCAAATAATTTGAGAATTTCATTTACATTTTCTTGAACGATTAATAACTTACTTTTTTGCTAACATGACAGCAATTTCAAACATGGGAACATCCTTGGTCAACCCTTCTACATATCCACGATATGCTGGATAAAAGGAATAAGCAGCAGCAAACAGCTGACAGAAAAAGATTGAAAGGATTCAATGTGTGAATAAAGCAATAAATTCTGTATTTAAAATCAATCAAATACCTGGCAAATGTCATCAGATGCACACGTATTTCTGGGAGCATATTTTTTCGCAGATTTATCGAGTTTATATGTAGTTGTCGACATGCTGGCATTTGTCAGCATAGCAATTTTCGGATCGCCCTTCAATTTTTTATCAACATTGCACCCTGGAATTGGGTTCAAATAAGAATTTGGACGCCGCTTCTGTCTTTCCCATGTTTCACTTTCATTCAATTGTTTCGATGAGATTCTTGATTTCGGCTGAGTTGTCGATTTCGGCTGAGTTGTCGATTTCGGCTGAGTTGTCGATTTCTGCTGCGTAGCGGCGCAGGTTAAACATATTCGACTTTCACCATATCCCTCGGCATCTCCACATGGCAAAGAACAACCATCAAGGATATGAACGGCTTTTTTGCATTTTTGGCATTTGTGAGCATCTCCTGGTGAGTGACCATTTGCGCAAGCAATGCACGTGGCTTTATTTGAAATCATTTCCATAGTGGTCTCATTTTCATCGTCATTCATTTGCTCAGTGCACGTGGTTTCATTTGAAGTCTTATCCATAGTGGTGTAATTTGCATCATCGTTCAATTGCTCAAGCTGAATGTCGTCATCACAATCGTACAGTTCCGTATCAACTATTATGTTTTGCAAACCTCCCGAAGCATCAATAAATTCGATGTACTCTTGCGATGCTTCTTTTACGATTCCATCTATCATTGCGATGTGCGCACAAACAAACTGGTCAACGCGACACGGAATGACCGAATCCAATGTTCGTTTTACAATATTGAAATACGATTCAACATTTGCAGAAGATGCTCTATTTGATGTACCAAAAATTGGCGTCGCCAATGCTGACCATAGAACGATGGTTTTCGTTAATTTAGTTAGAAATTTAACGAAATCTTTATTTTCCATTTCGTTCTTCTCGCTTTCATCATTGTTAGCCCCAGCAATTTCATCACTTGTAGCATTGATTTCATCGAACCATTCTTGGAAGGTTGGCATAGAATTGCTTTTACGTGTGTCCGTTACATAGTTTTCAAGTTCAGGATTTGATGATAATTCTTGATTGAAAAAATCCGGTTCATTTTCCTCAATACCGCTTATTAATTCATCTAAATGTTCTTTGTGTGTATTGCAGAAGATGCCTATAAGAAAAATATAACACATATATGTAAATATTTTTGTCGAAATTTAAACAAAAAAATATGATTTGTATATCAAAAAGTTTGTTATACCAATGGTCTGTGACTTCGCCACGATCATGATTGATTGTAGAATTTTTCGTGCTTGTGCAAGGTCAGTAAGTGGAATGAGTAAACACGTTGCTCTGACAAAGAACTGCTTTTGTTCAGCTGATTTTGACTTCAATGCATCACATGTTGTGATATGTTTCACCAAATGGTTAACATCAATTCTAATTTGATGTTTGAGCTTCCGTGCGTATGGATTATTTGGATTTTTAATCAAGATGAACAAAAGTTCACAATATTCGAACATATCGACACAGCTTGCGAAAACTACAGCCGCAGAGTTCAACAAAACGCTCGACATATCTGATACAAAAATGTTTGGCACATCGTCGAAAAATCGGATGAATTCAAAAAACCAAGACACAATGCGGCCCATATGATGAGCTTCCGAAACCATGGAATATATGGGTACTTGAAAGTCACAATCCGAAATCACAAATGTGTACAATAAAATCTTCTGAGATTTTTTGCCAGTCTCTCTCACTGTAAAATTAAAAGTTGAAAAGAAAAATTAGAATTAGAATTAGAATTCAAATACATTTGTATTTCCAATTTTAATTGAAAGATATTAATTACCTATTTTGTGAGCAATGCTTCCAGTAGCGTCACAGCTTATTTTGGTAAATTGGTTCTTTTTCTTATACACTTTGTAGAGAACAATTTGATCGATTGTGACATACGTAGAAAAAAATGGAATAAGGCAAACGTCACGAATTATATTCTTGTAACATGACTGCTCCAGCATTTCAAGCGATTTCATTGGGCATTCATCGATTCGTTGTTGCTTTCTTGTGTTATACCGAGTGCACCGAATGGAATTTGCAGTTGGTACCCGCGCTGGTGTTGTTTGAAACATGTCAATCGATTGACGTAGCAAATCGCGTCGTACTAATGTCGCTGGCCCTGGCTGAGCACTTAAAATCCGTCCTTGCTCACCGCCGATTCTAATAGATTTTTGGAATTTGTTTTCCTGGTGCACTTCTTCATCGATTTGCGAAACAGTGAACATGATGCGGACTCGTTTATTCGGTGTACCTGGTTTGTTTTTCATGGCACCATTCAATTTAGCTTTGCAGGTGGCACATTTTGCAGTGACAACAATATAGTTTTCGCCACTTTCGAAAACTTTTGCTCTTCTGAAAACCCATCTACACGGAATATCCTTCCTGTTGTTGGCAATGAGTTTCGACAGAACATAGACCTGGCGGAAGTATTTTGTATGTTCTGTCTATATTACGGCGTGCATTTTCGGCTTCACGGTGATAAATTGCATTAACAGGTTGAATTCTTCGCCAAACTGACATTTCGATGTCAATGGAAAATTTCTTTTCATATTGCTTGATGGGACTTTCTGTCGATTCATTCAATCCAACTTCAATAGAATCATTTGATTTCTCAGCTGTGTCCTCTTCTGAAGTAGAAGGCAACGCTTGATTTTTCTGAACACTTTTCGCCGCTATATTCTCCTCCAAACTATTAAATTTCTTCAGCATCGCCGTGTAAATTGATGCGGTTGTGACAGCTTCCGGAAGCTTATAAATTGATTTAATGGTTAACCAAATCTGGTCACTTTTCGGCGGAACTTTTCCATTTTGCTTAAACGTTTTTAAATAATCGTTGAAAATTTGGTCTTTATGCTTTTGTGAGAATATCGATGGTTTTCCGCCTGCATAAAAAACATACACTTGTAAAATTCTTCATAAAAATAAATGCAAATGTAGATAAATCTGTACAAACCTGCCATTATGAAAATTGTCCACTGAAATGTTGTCAAAAGATTTGGCGATCATATAAATCTGCTCCGCTGAAAAGAATTTGCAGGCTTCGTTTTCTCAGAAGAAAAACAGTAACACATGAACCAATCTCAGTACACCAAGATTCATGGCCTGAGATATAGTCGCCGAACAATTGGATCAAATTTGACAAAATTTCATTTTCAGTGAGTTAGTGCTCGGAAACAAGAGGTGCAAAAGGGCTTCAAATGTTGCATGCAACCAGCACTAACTCCAAATTTTCCAAAACCAATCTCAGTACACCAAGATTCATGGCCTGAGATGGAGTCGCCGAACAATTGGATCAAATTTGACAAAATTTCATTTTCAGTGAGTTAGTGCTCGCGTGTAGTTGCAGCACAAACTCTGGAAACTTGCATGCAACCAGCACTAACTCCAAATTTTCCAAAACTGGTCTCAGTACATCAAGATTCGTGGCCTGAGATAAAGTCGCCATACAAAATGGCCGTTTATTCCAAATTTCTGACTTTGGCGAGCTAGTGCTCGCACCCAGTTGCAGCACAAACTCTACAAATTTGGCACAAACCAGCACTAACTCCCCAGATTCCGAATCCGGAATTAGTTTTTCATTTTTCGAACTGGGGGGGCCAGCCACATGTACCTCAAACGGACAACGGACACGGACAGGTTTTGTACGAAACATTTCGGACACGCTTTTTTGTCCGAACATTCGGACAGTCCGAATGTTCGGACACGTTTTCGGACGTGAGGTGATAGCTGCTCATATTCATAACTCATACAATAATTACTCATTACCATACCACTCATTTTAGCTCATTCATACTTTTAAACTAACACACTCAAGACATTCTTACTTTCACTCGTGTTCTACCTTTCATGCTTCAAGTCTTTCATTCGCTTAATCACTTCTATGTCAACCGTAAATCAGAGAAGTCACAATAAAGAATATTGAATTACAACTAAAAATATGTTGCTGTCCGTCGTTTGTTCTTATTGAATTGATTTATTGCCCAATGGGCCGATGTCGCAGTTGAATTCACTACAGACGGACGGACAATTTTTTGTCCGAAAATCAGGAAGGATCAGCTGACAGCTGTCAAAGTATCAACATTGTTTTTTCATTGC